TATACAATATGACCTTTTTGTAAAATAAATGGTGTCTCTTTAGGATGAGGAAGACCATGATTCTGATGAAGGTCCATATACCTGCTCACGCACAGAAGACGGAGGCAAGCTGGAGTTTGCGTCTATGTTTGACACTCTTCACGCTCAGACACAGTCACACCCAGAGCCGTCGTCCTCGGGTCTGCAGGAGGATCTGGACAGGGTTCACAGGAGCCTCACGAGAGCCTGGGCTCTGGGCGTTTCTCTGGGTGGCTCCGTCCAGCAGAGAGAGCGTCTCCTCAGGTACACCTTGCTCTGTGTCTCTCGCCTCGTGAACCTCCTCCGGGTCAGAGACTCCGCCGGCAGGAAGAGCAGGAGCGCGTGGGTCACTCACGCCCTTCACACCCTCGGGACGCTGCTGTCCTTTCTCCCGTGGGACGCCGAACGCACCGCAGGCCGCGGCTGTCTGGGCATCACTGTAGAGCTCACTAGATGTTTCGTGGACATGTTTCTCCCGCTTTCCTCCTCCGATTTAACACTTTCCTCCCAGAACTTCAGCGCAGCGCTCGTCGTCCTTCGGCGAGCGTCTCAGAGTGTGGATCGGACCTACAGCCTCCCGCCGAGAGCAGTGCATCATGGGGAGCTGACATATTCCTCTGACATGTTTTCTGTCCCAATGTTACAAGACTACGTTGATGCTGATGCTGATGCCGAGACAGGAGCACAAACAGCACCTTCTAACAGGTCAATTTTGGTGTACTTGAGTAGTAAGATTTTCCTAACTAGTGCTTTTTTTCAGTCATCACTAGTTCTGCTCACAGTGATGTGATCAAATTATTAAACCGCAGCATTAATGATTCCTCGGATATCATGTAATAGGAACCACCCAGCAACACCCTAGCAACTTTATAGCAACATACTAAAACAACTCAGAGCATCTTACCAACACCCTAGCAACTTCATAGCAACATACTAAAACAACTCAGAGCACCACACAGCAACACCCTAGCAACTTCATAGCAACATACTAAAACAACTCAGAGCATCTTGAGCATCTTAGAGCAACACCCTAGCAACTTCATAGCAACATACTAAAACAACTCAGAGCATCTTAGCAACCACACAGCAGCACCCTAGCAACTTCATAGCAATATACTAAAACAACTCGGAGCATCTTAGCAACCACACAGCAGCACCCTAGCAACTTCATAGCAATATACTAAAACAACTCGGAGCATCTTAGCAACCACACAGCAGCACCCTAGCAACTTCATAGCAACATACTAAAACAACTCGGAGCATCTTAGCAACCACAGAGCAACACCCTAGCAACTTCATAGCAACATACTAAAACAACTCGGAGCATCTTAGCAACCACAGAGCAACACCCTAGCAACTTCCCACATCACACTTGCATCATGGCAAGCACCACTCACAAAATTATTAGTTAGTTAATAATGTATTATTTTAATTAATTCATTTGTTTTTGTTTTAATTAGTTTATTTGATCTGAATTGAATACATTTTTGTAATTAATTTTAAATATTTTATCTATTTCCATTAATTAATTAGTATTTAATATCGTATTTGCATTTATTTATTTAAATGTATTTCCATTTAGTTGTTTTGAGTAAATAATTGTTTTAATTATTTATTTTAATTAATTAATTAATTTAAATGTATTATTTAATCTTTTATTATTTTATTTATTCCCATTTATTTATTATTTTAATTACATTAAAAATACATTTAAAGTTTTATTATTCATTTCCAGTTTTTTAATAATTAAATAATTCATATTTATTTATTTTAATTAATTAATGTACATTTATTTATTTAAAATGTATTTTCCGTTATTTCCATTTATTTATTTTTTAATTTATTTTAATTTATTTATTTATGTATTTTAAATGTGAGAGAGCACTTTCTGCATGGCCTGACGCCTCTTGCGTTTTTCAGATTGGTGGTTATCTGGCGTGAGGTGTACAAAAGGGCTGTGCGGTACCGGGAGGAATTACGTCACCGCAGAGGCATAAAAAACGAGCTCGAGAAGATGTCAGTAATTATACCTCAAATCCAGCAAGCTTTACAGTCAGCTGGAGACCGTCTTGAGGAGAGCCACACACTGCGTAGTTTCAGCGGTGAGCATGAGCAGCCAAAACAGAAGCATCTTTTATTACCATGATGTTATAATAATGTGTTGCTGTTGTTGTCCATCCGCAGGTGAACAGCACTTTATTTTCGGAGAATATACGGAGAGCGTTCAGGGTTGGAGGACTCAGCTGAGGGCAGAGAGACAGAGAGGTCAGTCTGTTTTCAGTCAAACGCTGCTGTTAAATGTCAGGCGTCACTCACTTTATCCGTCCTGCGCCTCACAGTCGGTCCGATGACGTGTTACCTGGAGACCCGCTGCTGTCTGGCTCTTCTCTACACGCTGCTCTTCCAGTATCGACTGCGAGACGCTCAAGGTCTGTGTGACCGTCTGGCACGCCAGTTACAGACGCAAGCAGGACGACAGGAAGAGGAAACGCAAGGAGAGGCTGGTAGGAAGTAGATTATTACTTCAGTTAACTGACCAAGTGGACACAATTTCAAAATGGACAAATATTAGTCAGATTAACCCTATAAAAGCGAAATTTATGATTTAGTTTTAGTCATAGTCTTTGGACCAAAATGCCATTTAGTTTGTCACATTTTAGTCATCTGAACTGTTTTAGTCCTAGTCGACTGAATATCATAAGACTTTTGTAGATTTAAAAGGTTTAAAATTTCCAAACTCATTATGTATTCCCGGAGAAAACACTGGTAATATCAACGGTTTGAACAATATAGACACAGATTAGCTGCTTTGACACATAACTCAAAATTAAATAAAACCACTTCTCATAAAGAAACAAGAACATGGTGCTCTTTTGAAATACCAATGGTTATATGTGACGCTGGAGCACAAAAGCAGTCTTAAGTCGCTGGGGTATATTTGTAGCAATAGCCAACAATACATTGTATGGGTCAAAATTATCCATTTTTCTTTTATGCCAAAAATCATTAGGATATTAAGTAAAGATCGTGTTCCATGAATATATTTTGTAAATTTCCTACTATAAATATATCAAAACGTAATTTTTGATTAGTAATATACATTGCTAAGAACTTCATTTGGACAACTTTAAAGATGATTTTCTCAATATTTAGATTTTTTTGCTCCCTCAGATTCCAGATTTCCAAATATTGTCCTATCCTAACAAACCATACATCAATGGAAAGCTTTTTATTCAGCTTTCAGATGATGTATAAATCTAAATTTCAACTGGTTTTGTGGTCCAGGGTCACATATAATATACGTTCTTTATAACAACTTGCATACAGCATCCTTCATTCTTTCAAGCAGACATATTTATTTATATGAATTAAAATTAGATTAATCCTTATTAGGGCTACTAATGTGATTCATTCGAGAGCAGTGAGTGATTTTCTCTTTTTCTTTTGTTGATCCATTAGTAATAAGGACACAGACAACAGCAACTAAATTAGTCTGCTGTCCCTTTAAAACTGAATGCACATGTATTCAGTATACTGGTACACACATCTGATATTTCTATACACGGGTTAAGACATAACCGGGTGTGTTTGCGTGAATGCTCGTCAAAACAGACAGTTTGAGATCCCTTTGTGTGCATTTCTCCGTTAAGACTTGAGAGAGAACTGAATTCAGTAATCGTGCGCTGTTTGAGAAGCTGTGTGTAAAACGAATTAAGTGCTCTTTCGCCTCGTCACGCTTTTCAAATTTATCCATATGTCTGCTCTTTCTTACTCCCAGGTGCTGACATTTCTTACGTTTTATGAGACGTGCAGCAAGTGTATGCAAACTTATTATCAGAGAGTTATGGTTTTAGTTTTAGGTTTTAGTTCTGACTGGATCTCTGTCCAATCGTCCATCCCTATCATCTTTTCGTCTCGTTTTTATTCGTTGACGAAAATGTCAGTAGATTTTCATCATTGTTTTTGTCACTCAAAAAGAGTTTTTATTTCATTATCGTCTCGTTTTCATCAGTGAAAATATGTCATTGACGAAAATCATGTCAACGAAATTAACACTGCATCTGAATATGCCTACTTCTGAACTATATAGTATGCAAAAAACAGTACATGAAAATAGTAGTATGACCAAATTCATATATATATATATATATATATATATATATAAACACTTCAAACTTGAAAAATGAACTTAATACATGTATTAAGTGTTTCATTAATGTGTTTTTGAGATTTCCTAAATAAACACCAGTAAAATCTATTTAAATTGTATTTACAAACTCACCACACACAGTAATGGACGATAATTGTAATATGCTGAAAGTGTATTTTCTGAAAAATAGGACACTTTGCACTTGAAGATGATACAGAGTACAGATTACAGAATATGCAAACAAAATATGTAAAAATAATATTTTTTTAGCTTAAGATTTTATAGGGCTGATCGTTTTGGTCAAGATCACCAAAATGGAGACCTAAACTGAGACTTGTTATAGCACTTGCATATTATTGCTCTTTTGTTAGTTTTGATTGCTTTGTCCTCATTTGTAAGTCGCTTTGGATAAAAGCGTCTGCTAAATGTAAAATCAAAATCAAAATAAAAGAAAAATGTATAATTTTGACCCATACAATGTATTGTTGGCTATTGCTACAAATATACCCCAGCGACTTAAGACTGCTTTTGTGCTCCAGGGTCACATATTATAACCTATATATGCACTACCTTTCATTAGTTTTGAGACGGTAAGGTTTTTTAACGGTCACAAAGGCTGCGTTTATTTGATCAATACAGTAAAGTCAATAATTTTGTGAAATATTATTACATTTAAAATAGCTGTTTTCTGTGTTATATTTGTTCTGTTTTCTAACCCTAACCCTTCAGAAATCATTCTAATATGCTGATTTTCTGCTTGAGAAACATATCTGATTATTATCAATGTTGAAAACTGCTGAATGTTTTTGTGGAAACTGTGATACATTTTATTTTTCAGGATTCACAGATGAATAGAAAAGTTCAAAAGAACAGCATTTATTTGAAATAGAAATCTTTTGTGACATTATAAATGTCTTCACTGTCACTTTTGATCAATTTAATGCATCCTTGATGAATAAATGTATTTATTTTTAATAGTGATCCCACATTTTGAACAGTAGTGTATTGCTAGATTGCTGTTGTAAATAAGGCTATATGATTGTGGTGTGAGGTCAGTAAGAGATTTCTCCCTGTAGATGAGGGTCCGGTGGGGCGTGAAGCGGCCTGCGCTGTGGTTCAGTCTCTGGGCAGGTTTATGGCTGCGTACTTCACCAACCGGCCGCTCTGCATTCTCCCGCCACACAACATCGACGTGCTGCCGCCTCTTCACTTACCACACGGTGAGCTTGTTAGGATCGGACAATATATTGGCTGAGATACAACTATTTGAAAATCTGGAATCTGAGGGTGCAAAAAAATCTAAATATTGAGAAAATCATCTTTAAAGTTGTCCAAATGAAGTTCTTAGCAATGCATATTACTAATCAAACATTAAGTTTTGATATATTTACGGTAGGAAATTTACTAAATATCTTCATGGAACATGATATTTAGTTAATATCCTAATGATTTTTGGCATAAAAGAAAACTGTATAATTTTGACCCATACAATGTATTGTTGGCTATTGCTACAAATATATCCCAGTGACTTAACACTGCTTTTGTGCTCCAGGGTCACACATATGTTCATGAGATGATAACTGGATGAGAGTTTCTGAGCTAATGCGATAATGCAATGATGTAATGTGGTCATATGACATAGTTAACTGATGCAAAAAATAAAACTATTATTTATTTATTTGTATTTTAAATAAAAAATATTTTAAATACTTTAAATAGGGCTGTCAGTCGATTAAAATGTTTAATCTAATTAATTACGTGATGTGGCGATTAATTAAATCTAATTAATTACAAAGTATATTTGGTTGTGAAAATAACCACAAAAGAATATTTAAAGCTATTATTGAGTTAAATGAGAAAGTATCAAGTAGATATTACAAATAGTTGCTTTAGAAATAAATATTTTGTCATTCAACAAACATAACATAAAACTTAATATAAATACTGAAAAAAACCTAAAAACTAGTAAACATGACAAAGCACAAAATTACTAAAACTTTTATTAATAAGATATTAAACTTACTAAAACGTCAAATTAAAATAACATTAATACTGAAAATATAAAAATAAAATATTTTTTAAGTTTATATATATATATATATATATAATTCTAAATTAACACTGAAATATGAATATTAGATGAAAAATAAACAATTTGAAGTAGTTGCCAAGCAGCAACTAATTCTGATTTTAAGTTTTTAAGTTCACGTTGTCGTAAAGTAGTTAAATTGCTAAAACTAAAAATGAAATCAATTAAAGCTAAATTAAAAAATAATAAAATGACAAAAATATATAATAAAATGACTAAAAACTAAAATTAGTAGTAAAACTGAAAATGCAAATAAATACTATAAAAGTATATAAATGATGCTAAAATAACATTAGTGACAATAATGTTAGTGTGCAGGTCCTCTGCTATTTTTATAAAATGAGGATGCTAGTATTGCTTTCTGAACACAGCTCGAGTCTCATATGGCTAATAAAGCAGTGTATGATTGATTAGATCATGTAATGAACTGCTTTTTCTCTCACAGACGCTAGTGGACGTGTGGTAGAGTTGTGTCAGACTCGTGTATCGCTGTCGGTCTGCTCCGAGCAGCTCTCGGCGCTGTGGACGGTGGATTACGCTCTGGAGCTCCTCCTGCTGGGAGGATTGATGCCTGAGGCCTCGTGGATGGCCCTGCGGCTGGGAGACTGGAAGATGGCAGCCGCCCTTGGCCTGGCCTACACCAACTACTGCAGTGGACAGTTAGACATCAGCAGGTTTGTTGTCAGCATGAGGGTCTGGGCCCGGTTGCATGAAAGTCCTTAAGTAATTTGACTTAGGGGTAGGGCTGAACGATTAAGGGGTATCCTTGGGCGGGGGGGATCCCTGAGGTAAAGGGATTTCTTTAGGAGCGTTGCAACAAACGTCTTAACTGTCACCCTTACCTAAGTGTTTATACGAAGCGTTTCACGGTAGTTTCTGGCAACATACGGCAATGGACGCCGTGGTTACTATAGTTACTACATCTCACAATAAACAGATATGTATACATATCTATGACAATAAACAGAACATAATGAAATACAAACCTAACCAACTAAAAACAGACAAACATAAAAAACATGAGCGCTGCCTGTTTCTGCGCTGCTTTGTGTACAGTCGTTACTGAGGAAACCGCTTTGTTTCTGCAGTGAAAGCGCCCCCTGCTGACCAATGAGGGAAAATTTCCCAAATGTGAAAATTAACCCATGTTTTGATGCTGCAAACACGCAGAGTTGTAAATGTGAACAGGTGGACCGACAAGATAATGCATTATAAAAATCTAAACAGTTAAAGCAAATTATATTTATATGATTGTTTACATTGATATCATAATTGATACAAATTTATATAAGACTTTTTGTTTTGTGAAAACCTGTAAGTCATGCTTTTTACGGTCATTTTACAGTTTAATATGTTACCATAGTCATTGCCCTACTGCGCTCATATGATATTTTATTTGTGCAGGTCTTAAAAAAATGTCTTAAGTCTTACATTTGAGTTTAAAAATCCTGCAGATACTGAGTTAAGATGACTTAAGGGAGCTCTTTTGGTCCCTTACATTTAATAAGGTGAAATGGTTGCTAAGGACTTTGTAGCAACACTTAAGGGAACACTTAGATAATTAAGGGGAATGCTTAATGGCAGCCTTAAGGTTCCTTAAGTTGACCCTTAGGTTTTTTTCTTGCAACCCAAGTTTCACTAAGGGCTCCCTTAACTTTATAACTAAGGGATTTCTTAGCATAAGGGCTTTCATGCAACCGGGCCCTGCTACATTGTCGCTTCAGATGCTGCAGTGATGTTTTCATATTTCTCACTTTTCGGTCCTCCAGCCTGCGTTGGAGAGAGCTGCAGCTTCCCACCGAGCTGAAGCCTGCAGAGATATTCCAGGATCAGCTGGAGATGCTACTGGGCCGAATGGCTGGGTCTGAGGGAGATGCTAACACAGGTGAAAATGCGGTATTTATAATCGGGTTAATTTAATTTAATTTCATATAATATAATATAAAAGGTAATATAATGTAATATAATATAATATATAATATAATATATATTACGTGTCGTTACTGTTATCTAAAACCAGTATATAAATAAAATTAAAATACTACAAAAATATAAAAAAATACAATATTTAATCAAAATAAATATAAAATAAGATACTTCATATAATATAATAAGATTTTTTAGAATGGAAATGAGAAATGTTGCCTTGGCAACTAACCGAAATAAGTACTAAAAAGACTAAAGCTGAAGCCAAATGAAATTAAAGCTAAATACTATACACTACTGGGATCAGTAAGATTTTTGATGTTTTTAAAGAAGTCTCTATTCAGCTTTGCATCACAGGAATAAATGATCTAATATATAAAAAAACTAATAAAAATGACAAAGCACATAAAATGAAAACTGAAAATGTAAAAATAAAAGCTATTTCAAAATATGAATTAATAGTATATAAATAATAGTAAAATGACACTGAAAATGAAATATAATCAGTCTACAGCTAATATGCTGTTTGTTTGTTGCTCCTTTAGGCACAGTGGGTGTTGAGGACGTGGATCTGGTTCAGGTCTCTGTGCAGGAGATCCTGAAGGCGTCTGTCATGGCAGAGGTGGACGTCATCTCTCAGCCTCTAACACGACTTCTGGACACAGCCAAAGAGCGAGCGATGTCACTTCCTGCTCTGGTTCCTCCTGCGTTCTACCTGCCTGCTCCTCCTCTGTACTGTCCACAGCCTTCACCGAACACACAGGTGGATCACACACAAGCCTGGTTTCCATCCTAAGTTGCGAATTTAACTTATGTGCAAAATTGGAATATTGCATAAAACATTTGCAACCGTTTCCATCCAACGAGTCAGAGAACAAAATCGTCACTTCCTGATAAACTGGCACTATAAATCACTAAGAAAAGCAGGAGAAGCCACTGAATATAATAATTCTCAAATATAATAAATTACTTGCGCTTCGAGTGAGCAGACGAAACACAATAAATGCGGTCTTGCTTTTTGAGGTGAATGCCTGCTGTTTGGGAACGCAGTCGTGGTAGACCGTTCTGGGAGGCAGTTATAAAGAAATACTTTGATGACAGACTTTGCTCGGCCATGACAACAGTTCAGATGCTGTGCAACAAAATCGGTCCGCTGGTTAGTCAGATTTTGCCGTCCCATAGTGCAAAGTCACATGTATTTTTTGAATGCTCATGCGGGATTTATTTGCAAAATGTAGCATAAGGGCTTTCATGCAACCGGGCCCTGCTACATTGTCGCTTCAGATGCTGCAGTGATGTTTTCATATTTCTCACTTTTCGGTCCTCCAGCCTGCGTTGGAGAGAGCTGCAGCTTCCCACCGAGCTGAAGCCTGCAGAGATATTCCAGGATCAGCTGGAGATGCTACTGGGCCGAATGGCTGGGTCTGAGGGAGATGCTAACACAGGTGAAAATGCGGTATTTATAATCGGGTAAATTATGAGATCTAGACCCTATAATTAAATCAAAACATAAGATTTACCACAGTTTTAATTCTGCACATTACACGAGGAACATCTCCAGGCATCTCAGGAGCTACTAAAGTTAGTTAGCGGGCCTGTTTTCACCTTTACTAGGTTCCGTTAGGGGAACGCAGTCGTGGTAGACCGTTCTGGGAGGCAGTTATAAAGAAATACTTTGATGACAGACTTTGCTCGGCCATGACAACAGTTCAGATGCTGTGCAACAAAATCGGTCCGCTGGTTAGTCAGATTTTGCCGTCCCATAGTGCAAAGTCACATGTATTTTTTGAATGCTCATGCGGGATTTATTTGCAAAATGCATTATTATCCCATTATTCGCATTAACCCTTTATCACAAGTTAAAAACCACCTCAAGCGAGGTGAAAAGAAATTTCTTTTCAAAATTTGGCGTTTCCATCACTCGTTTCTGATGCGATACTTCAAAATGCACATAAAAAGAGGGTGATGGAAACATAGCTACAGAGACGCCCGACCGTCACGTGTGTCTCTGTCGCGTCTATCTTATCTTCAGCTGTGTGTCCATCTCCTCAGGACTCTGTGAGAGATGCAGCTCTGGTTCTGGAGAGGGAGTCTCGCTGCCAGGTTTCTGGGCTGGTTCAGAAGGTTCTGATGCTCTTCAGAGCGGCACACAGCTCTTGGCCCGCGGCGCAGTGGTACATCAGCAACCTGCATCGCTGCAGACACCTACTGCATAAGGTGTGTTTCCCATGTGTCCACCTCACAATTACTTACCTAATTACCCAGCAGTTACTTGGACATGTACCGTTATAATGTTTCAGTATTCTCTGGGTGTCAGTAATCTTTATCTAACCAGTTTAAATGTAAAGGTTACTTACTAACTAGCTATGTTAGCAGTTACTTGGACATGTACTGTTATAATGTTTCAGTATTCTCTGGGTGTCAGTAACCTTTATCTAACCAGGTTAAATGTAAAGGTTACTTACTAACTAGCTATGTTAGCAGTTACTTGGACATGTACCGTTATAATGTTTCAGTATTCTCTGGGTGTCAGTAACCTTTATCTAACCAGGTTAAATGTAAAGGTTACTTACTAACTAGCTATGTTAGCAGTTACTTGGACATGTACCGTTATAATGTTTCAGTATTCTCTGGGTGTCAGTAACCTTTATCTAACCAGGTTAAATGTAAAGGTTACTTACTAACTAGCTTTGTTAGCAGTTACTTGGACATGTACTGTTATAATGTTTCAGTATTCTCTGGGTGTCAGTAACCTTTATCTAACCAGGTTAAATGTAAAGTTTACTTACTAACTAGCTATGTTAGCAGTTACTTGGACATATACCGTTATAATGTCTCAGTATTCTCTGGGTATTAGTAACCTTTATGTAACCAGGTTAAATATAAAGGTTACTTGCTAACTAGCTGAGCAACAAACTAACTAGCTAACTAATTAACATGTTAGTAGTTTTTTTTAGACAAGTAATATTGAAATGTTTTAGAATTCTTTGGGCTTTACTAACCTTTATCTAACCAGGTTAAATATATATAGGTTACTAACAAATTAATTAACTAACTAACTGACTAACATGTCAGCAGCTACTTGGACCATTATAATGTCTTGGTATTCTTTGGATGTTAGTTATTGTCACATTCCGAGTTTGTTTGTACTTGTTTATTCTGTTTTTGATCTGTTTTCTTGTCTTGTTTTCTGTTTTAGTATTCTGATCAGTTTTCTAGTTTGATAATTAGTTCATGCTCTCCTTTGTTCCTTGCCTATGGTTACTATTTGATTGGTCCTCAGGTTCTCCCTAGTCTTTGTCTGGTATTGAGGGTCTTAGTTTGATTGTAGCGTCCAAGTATTTCTCTAACACTTGTATTTTTCTAAAAGTATTTTTCTAAAGTACCTGTGATTTATGCATCTTCTTCGTCTAGTGCCTATCTCTACACTACATCCGTGACAGTAACCTTTATCTAACCAGGTTAAATATAAAGGTTATTTACTAACTAGCTAACTAACTAACTAACCAACCAATCAGCTAGCAAATTAACATATTAGTAGTTTTTTGGACAAGTACCATTGTAATGTCTTAGAATTCTTTGGGAGTTAGTAACTTTGATTTTAACCAAGTTAAAATAAATGTTACTAACTGTCTAACTAACTAACCAACATACTAGCAGTTACTTGGAAATATGCTGTTACATAATGCCTTAGTATTGTTTGGGAGTTAGTAACCTTTATCTAGCCAGGTCAAATATAAAGGTTACTAACTAACCAACAATCAAGTACCATTGTAATGTCTTAGAATTCTTTGGGAGCTAGTTAGTACTGTTTGGATTTAGTACTAGTTAGTACTAGTTTGGATGTTGTTTTAAGAATCTTACTGATACTCTCTGTTGGTAGATCCAGAAGAAAGAGTCCAAACACTTTTGTCCAAAAATGAGTTAACGTTTATTTATTCAGGCTAAAATAAAGGTTACTAACTATCTAACTACCTAACATGTTAGCAGTTACTTGGACATGTACCATTATAATGTCTTAGTATTAATAAGTATAATGTGTTAGTAAACAACCAGGTTAAATATAAAGGTTACTAATTAAATAAACAACTCACCAGCTAACTATTTTTTTTAACTTATTTTTTTCTGGAAAAAGTGCCATTGGAATGTCTTAGAATTCCTATTTGGATTTAGTGCTAGTTAGTAGTAGTTTGGATATTTTTTAAAGAATCTCATTGATATTTTCTGTTGGTAGATCTGGAAGAAAGCGTCTGAACCCAAAGCAGAATTGGTTCCTGATGGACTGAGGAAATTCTCCACTCATCGTGGGTTTTTCCAATCAGGGCGTAGCAAAGACATGGATAGTGTCACTACGCAAATCATAAGTATGCTTACTCTATTTAGCTGTCAGAACTTTTAGTTAGTGGTGTCTATGTGAAGCTCCATGTATTTATATGATTTTCTGCCTTTGTTCAGTATGTTTCCGTGAGTTGTGTGCACTTTGCTGGATGCTCCATGTGAGGGACCAGCTCAGCATTTCCTGCAGAAGGTACCAGGCTGCAAGGCAACAGGAGAAAGACACTCAGGTGCGTTTAAAGAATGAATGTATGAGTATCTCTGAGATGCCAGGTGGGTCAATCAATGTTTTTGTCTCTCAGGTCAGTGACGCGAGTGTGTCGGATCTATGCGTTGAGGCTCTGTGTTGGGCGCGCCGTCTCGTGCCGTTCTGCCATTTCCTGAACGCAGAGGAAGCCCTGCAGGACTTGGTGCTCAGCCTGGTGTCTGAACTGCCGCCCAGTCGTGTGGTAATATACATCACAGTGTTTCCCATACATTCATTTACTTGTGGCAGCCCGCCACAATATCCACATTGACCGCCACAAATATCCACCGTCCCCTGTCATCAGCTCCCGCGTCTCACACACACGAGCACGATATTAGCACTATATTTAGCAATATATTTTTCACCCCCTGGCTCTTAATGCATGGTTTTTCCTTCTGGAGCATCAGCGAGCATTTGAAGCTTCTGTAATAGTTGCATATGAGTCCCTCAGTTGTCCTCAGTGTGAAAAGATGGATCTCAAAATCATACAGTCATTGTTGGAAAGGGTTCAAATACACAGAAATGCTGGAAAACCAAAGAATTTGTGGGAGCTGAAGGATTTTTGTGAAGAACAGCAGGCAGTTTAACTGTTCAGGACAAACAAGAGACTCATGAACAACTATCACTAAACGAAAAAACACAGCTGTGGATCATTCAGGTAACAACACAGTATTAAGAATCAATTGGATGTAATGTCTTAGTATTTTTTGGGAGTTCGCAAGTTAGTTGGTTAGTAATATTTATTTTTAACCTGGTTAATTAAAGTTTACCAACGAACTAACTTGCAAACAATACTAAGGCATTATAACGGTCCAAAAATCAATTGTATAAATATCAGTCTAATCAAAATAATCGTATCTGATCCATCAGTGTACCATTACAGTACATCTTTGTAGCCCCTCACCTGTCTAGTTATTCCAAGCTTGTGTTTAATTTCCTGTGTTTAGACGGCAGAAGCTCTAGCAAAAGTGTTTCCTGATGAGACTGAGTCTGTTCGCGTGCCGCTGCGGGATAAGTACACGTCGCTGGTGCAGAGACTGAGACCCATGATAGTGCCAGACACCTTGACACCAGGCAAGAGCTGCTTTAGGGAATAACTCACCCAGAACGATGGTTCTTTCCTTTGTTTGGAAAGCAGAGCATCTGGTCAGCACTTCAGCCCCTAAGCAGATGTGCTCATGTTCACAGATGTGCCGCCAGGAAGCGATAGGGAAGATGAGGGCGGCGATACCATGATGATTCTGATCCAGGATCAACTGAGGCAGCGACGCCGGGAGCTTCGGCGCCTGGCAAAGTACCTGGGCGCACTGGAGCCATACCTGTGGGAGAGAGAGGAGGAGGAGGACAGGGGAGGTGCTGCCTCCATACTGAAGCGCCTCTCTCTCGGGACTAGTTTGAGTGACAGCACGCTGACGGACTGTGGGCGCCCCCTAGTGTACAGTGAAGGAGACACGGCCGAGACGCTGTCGGAGCCTCTTTCCCCAGAGCTGCAGACCAAATCTGCACACAGGTAACTCTGCTAGTATACTGTATACTGTATACTTTTTTTTTGCAAATATTATGTGAAACAGTATGCATGTGTTGTATACTGCACATTTGGGCAAATGTAGCAGGTCATCCACACTGTAAAAAATAAAAATTATTTTTTGTAAACGAAACAAAGACTATTGAAGTACATTTTACAAGAAAATACTATTTCATTCTTTCTACTTCAAAATTTCAAGTTTAATTCAATGCGTTACTTGCCGTTTCTTTGTAATTATTTATGACTGTTTCTGAGTGAAAATTGTTTCAAAGTAAATCCTGTACAAAATGTTTTAATAAACATGTTAGTAGTTTTTTTTTGTATTTCTTTTTTAATATTTAGTGTTTAGAATTCTTGAAGAGTTAGTTAGTAACCTTTATTTAACCAGGTTAAAAACAAAGGCTACTAACTAACTAAATTGTTAGTAGGTTTTTAGGACATTTACCATTGTTCTTTCGAAGTTAGTAACCTTGATTTCACCAGGTTAAAAGTAAAGATCTGCCTAACTGACATTATCTAATAAACATTATTACTAGGCAAGTTACAATGTTACATGTTTTGGACATGTACCATTGTAATGTTTTAGTATTCTTTGAAATTTTGTTACCAGGTTAAAATATAGGTTACTAACTAACTAACTAACTTGTTAGTTTTTTTTGGACATGTACCATTGTTATTTATTTATTTTTTGGTAGTTAGTCAGTAACATTTATTTAACTAGGTTAAAATAAAGGTTACTAACTAACTAACTAACTAAATAATTAAATAACTAACATGTTAGTAGTGTTCTGCACATGTACCATTATAATGTTTTAGTTTTTGTTTGAGAGTTAGTAAGTAACCATTATTTAACCAGGTTAAAATATAGGTTACTAACTAACATGTTAGTAGTTTTTTGGACTTGTACCATTGTAATATTTTACAATTATTTGGTAGTTAGTTAGTAACATTTATTTAACTAGGTTAAAATAATGGTTACTAACTAACTGACCGACTAACTAACTAACTAACATGTTAGTTGTTTTTTTAGACATGTACAATTGTAATATTTTAGTATTATTTGGGAGTTATTTAGTAACCTTTATTTTAACCAGGCTAAAATAAAGGTTTCTAACTAAATAAATAATTAAATAACTAACTAACATGTTAGTAGTCTTCTGCACATGTACCATTGTAATGTTTTTTTTTGTGTTTTTTGAGAGTTAGTAACCTTTATTTAACCAGGTTAAAATAAAGGTAACTAACTAACTAACATGTTAGTAGTTTTTTGGACTTGTACCATTGTAATATTTTAGTATTCTTTGGGAGTTAGTAACCTTTATTTAAACAGGTTATAAAGGTTATTATCTAACTAACATGTTAGCAGTTTCTTGTTTATGGTTCTTAGTAGGGCTGCACGATAAATCGCATGCGATATTTAACGAGCATCTTATCAGTAAAGCCGGTTCTGTAATCAGCGGTAAATCTCCATCACCTGCGGGCTTTCACATTGAGCAGCATTAACTACACAGAGCCGTTGTTCACTAACGAGCTGCGCAAAAAATCGCGCGAATATGAACATGGTTTTGCGTAGCTCGTTAGTGAACAACGGCTCTGTGTAGTTAATGCTGCTCAATGTGAAAGCCCGCAGGTGATGGAGATTTACCGCTGATTACAGAACCGGCTTTTCTGACAAGATGCGCGTTAAATATCGCATGCGATTAATCGTGCAACCCTAGTTCTTAGTATTCTTTGGGAATTGGTAACCAGATTAAAAATAAAGATTACTATCTGTATAACTAACATTATATAATACACACAGTAGTTTTCTGGACATGTACTATTGTAATATTTTAGTATTCTTTTGGAGTTATTTAGTAACCTTTATTTAACCAGGTAGATTTTTTTTTAGTGCAAGTATTTTGTACTGAACATATCAAATTTATGTTCTATTCCCAGTATGCATAGTGCATACTTCAAACATAATTTGAGTAGTAGGCCATTCTGAACATGTTTTGAATGGCTTGAGCTAATTAATGTGTGAATATGGTAAACTTACGGTAAACTCTTTCTTGTGTTTGTAGTTCTAAGACAGCAAAATTTCTGGATGCACCTGAGAAATCAACACAAGAAAGAAAAGGAGATAAAAGATCAGGCACAGTGGAACCAAAAGCACCAGACTCGACTGTACCCACAGTGGGAACCTGGGAGTTTGAGCTGGAGGATGAGGAGTACACGCTCTTTCTAGATTTGTTCCTCAGCTACATGCTGGGAAAAGACAGACTGGACGCTGAAGAGTCCGAGCTGCCTTTACTGAGTGCTTTCTCACAACAGCTCCGTACTAGAGAGCTGCACTCGGTGACCTTTGACATGCTGACCACTCTCAAACGCCGTCAGAAGGATCGGAAACGAAGTGCGCAGTTACCCCTCTTCCATGCCGGTCACTGCTTCCAAACTCTCCCGGTTACTCCCAGACCTCCGTCATCCATCGGGCCGGTTCAGTCCGACACTCATTCTACGTCCCCTTGGGCTCTTCCTGGACTCCATACTGGGAAACATCAAGGTCTTTTTGCCCTTCGTCGACATGCTACCTTAATGTCCAAAGACGTTAAAGTAAATTCGATTGGCACAGACGTCGAGTCAACAGGCTTTAAGATCCTCTCTCAGGCTGAATTAGATGTTCAGATGGAGCTAGACTCCTCTCTCGAGGCCCGGTTTCCTCAGCTGGCCCGGCTGCTGGAGTGGATGATGCGCTGGGCCGACAGGCGGGTTCTGCTCTCTCAGCCAATCAGAAAGACCTCAGAGGGCTCCGGTGATTCGGTGGTCATCAGGGTCAACGCCTCGACCCCTGCAGTGCTGACAGCGCTAGAGCTGCTAAAGTGGAGGTACAGCGCCGCCCTGCTGGGAGAAAACTCAAATCACTCCCATACTAAGGTAAGGATGCATTTTGAGATGTAGTGATTTAAATGAACCTGTTATTCCATATTCTCACAAATTCAGAACAGATGGGGTGTCATGTGCCTGTTTAAATTTGAATGGGTCAGCAGTGTCAGTGCAAAGTCATTCAAAGACAAAAACTATTTAAAAATGGTAGAAGTGTAAGTCAGGTTAGTCTGGTTGCAAAGTTTTTAACCGTGCAACAGGACCTGTGTTCTGATCCCGATCTAACATTATTTTTTGTAAAGGAACAAAATAAAAGTTATTAGTGGATTATGATGGAACAGCATGATTCAAGCAATTTTGATGGAAATACCAATGCTAAATAAATAAATAAATAAAGATAAATAAAATAATAATAATTATTATTATTATTAATAATACTTAATATGAATAAATATATATTTTTATATTTCTATTTTTTTGTTATTTGTATATGATTTTTGTCAGTATTTTATATATATATG